GCTATATACAGTGGGGGAAATAAGTATTTGACCCCTTGCTGATTTTGCAGGTTTGCCCACTTACAAAGAATGCTTATTTTTCCTCATCAGATGGTTATCAATTTTTATAAATTCATATGATGTGATTTTCTGGAATTTTCTTTGGGATTCTGTCTTTCACTGTTAGAATGTACATATGATTAAAGTTAGAGATCGTTGCATTCTTTGTAAGTGGGCAAACCTGCAAAATCAGCAAGGGCTCAAATACTTATTTCCCCCACTGTAAATGTGGAAGCTCACTGAAAACACCGGCAATGGACACAGTAAATAAATACCTTTGGAACATAATGCTTGTTGCTTATTAGTTATTTACCAAATAACTAATAAGAGAAGCAGCTAAATGCTCCTTCTCCTCTCAGGATCAGCTTATACTTCTCTCTGTTTTTGATAACAGCCTCCATCCTTCTTCTGGTGTTTTTTTCTCCTTAATTCTGTCAGCTTCTCTGGTTTTTAGGTCCCACAGAGGGTTGGGGGCTCCAAAGCTGACACACTGAGGACACTCTGTGTCTTTTCTTTGTCTCTTCTTTGCATCAGGAGGAGCTTTAATTCACTCTGAGCTTTGCTCTGGTTGTTTGAGCATTTTCAACTAATTAGGACTTCTAACTCTGTTGCCTTTTTCTCTACAAATTTAAACTCATTGGGCTTCTGTGATAAGCACGAAAGCCGTCTTGTATATCATTTTTATTTTCTTCTAGTTTGTAACAAACTAAATGATTTCCTTTGTTTCTCTCATGAATGGGTGCAGTGTATGATGATGGCTTCATTTGAAACTACAAAGGAATGAAAACATACAAAGATTTGAATATGAAAAATATTTAAATGAGTCATAATAGTACAAACACAGTAAATTCACTTTGCTACCCTCCCCGTTTGTTTTCCACCATGTCAGTTATCTTCTAGTCCGCTTTTCCAGTGTTTGATGGGAGGGGCGTATCACACAGAGTTTATATAAAAGCATGGAGGCCAGAGAAGAGCTTTTTTATAATAACAACTATTATAACATGCTCACATCCCATTGAGAGTCCAGTTCTCCTCTTCCAGCTGGACCTGAGGGCTCTTCTCTGAACAGAAAGTCCTGAGTTGTGGGAAGCCTTTTCAGGTGTGGATGGTTAGTTTTCCTAAAAACTGAGTATTAATATTAAGTTGACAGTGGTTTTAATTTGTTCATCTGCTTTTCTCATTTTACGTGTAGACCTGATGTGAACATTACACAGTTCAGACCTGTTATTTGCTTTTATTGTAGCACTAATAATCCAAAGTAAGGGCTGTGGCTAACACTTTTGTAGAAGCTGAAGTCCAAAAGACATTTCTTATGAACTCCTTTACTCCCTCAGAGCCCGACCAGCAGGGGGAATCAAACCTACTGGATTCTTACTCCTCCTTTATCTTAGAATTGCAGCACCTGCTAAATGTATATTTGATCTGAGGAACATCACAGAAACCAGTAGGCCTCCTCTGTCCGGGGGCCTTTCTACAGCCTGGACTTTAGCTAACGCTAACGCTAACGCAGTGGTTCCTTCATAACCAGCTAAACGTCCACCCTGTACTGATGTAGGTCTGAGCAGAGCACATGTTTGGAGTTACCAGTTCAGAATTATGAGCCCCAACTCAAACCGGAGGGTTTCAGGTTTGAACTGGGGGGGCCTTGTATATATTTGAGTCACTCAAATCTCTGCGCTGTGTTGCTTCCTTGTACATTTGTTTGCTTTTGCTGTACTTTATGCACCTTTTCCTCCTTTTGAACTCTAACCGATGTGTGACCAGTGAATTTCTCCACTGTGAGATCAATAAACCTCTTATCTTATCTTATCTGAATAAGTCATAAACTGCAGTGATGAAAAACAAGGATGAGACTGAACAGGAAGATCTGCTTCAAATCAGGCTTTCATCAACAAAAATCCACACAGCTGAAGAAGGTTTTCTGTGAAATCCAGAGTTCGTTTGGAAAGCTGAGGTCAACGAAATGCAAGCGCGGTCCCAGAATGCACTTTAGGTCCAGATCAGAGGTCCTAGCCCAGGTCTGTGGAGTTCAGCTCGTTCAGGAACGTCTGGCACTTGGTCATCAGGACTTTGATGGCTTCTGTCACCAGCACATCTGGAGGCAGGATGCCGGTGGACTCCACTGTGACTGGAAGAGAAAAAAAACAGAGACCCCCCCATCAGCAGCAGAACAAATCAACTGAAATATGGCAAGCCTTTTATTGTTTTAATATAGCTGATTATGGCGTACAGCTGAAGAAAACTCAAAAATCCAATATTCTAATATTTTGAGATAGGATATTTGGGTTTCTTAAGCTGTACGCCATAATCAGCGATATTAAAACAATAAAAGGCTTGTGATATTTCAGTTGATTTGTAATGAATCCAGAATGTATGACATTTCATGATTTTTAATTGCATTACAGAAAATAAAGAACTTTATCAAAATATTCTAATTTTCTGAGACAGTCCTGTATGTTAGAGCCAATAAGAGAGCAGGCGGTGGGACAGGCATGCAAAGGCTTATGTTTAGTTTTAGTTTAGTTTTATTAGGATCCCCATTAGCTGCCAAATAAATGGCCACTAGTCTTCCTGGGGTCTTCACATGAAGAAATTATATTACATTATAAACAAATAATAAAAAAGAAATAAAAATAATCACAGTAGGAAATAATAAAAGCATAGACAAGAGTAGAACTATACAACATATATACACAGGTCAGTTCAAAGAATTTGCCTTGGTGTTTAGTGCACAACACAACACTTCTATGAGAAGCAAGAAATAAAATGTCGAAATAAAAATATAGGACCGAAATGATAAAACTGAAAAATACAATCTTTAAAAAGCTGGACCTACAGATGAAGTGGTCCCGCACTCTGCCCAGCTTCACGGCGTTCTTCAGGTCGCTGTGCCGGAGGACCTCCCTGCTGCAGGTGTCCAGCCGGCTGTTGACCACTCTGGCCACCTTCCTCCCTGTGAGAAACAGCACGAGTGCTTTTGTTCAGCTTTCTACATTATGTGAGAAATGAGCACAGTTATTCAACCAGGCGGGCAGCTTCTGGTCATTTGACCCGACCCGTTGGGAGAACAGAAGCAGTGTGCAGGTCTAGGGTTAGGGTTAGGGTTAGGGTTAGGGTTAGGGTTAGGGTTCAGAGCTGAGACTCTGGAACAAACTGCCTCATGACATCTGGACTGCTACTAAGAAAGGCGCATTTAAAACACTTCTAAAAATATATTTTGTTGAAAGCCTTAATTCATGAATATTTGGGTAACAGATTGTAATGTAAGGTGAAATAATTTGAAATGTATAATTGTTCTTATGATGTTATCATTTATTCTCTGATTTAATTATGTATTTATTTACGTTGTTTATGATCATTAACAAGACGTTAGCCTTGCTAGCTGCGGCTAATGGCTAATAGTAACATTACCATTACCACAGTACCATTATTCAAGTACATATCCAACTCCGCCCACATCCAAGTCGGCCATTTTGATTACATCACCAATAGGAAGATCCAGGCAATAAAATGGTAATTGCCTCATGGCAATATAGACATTAATTTAAATATAGTTAAATTAATCTTTCAAACACTGAATTAAACTCTATCCATAATATTATGTTAAAATAGTGGATGTTTAATAGGTTTGTACGATAAGTCCAAACAAGTTTAACCAAAAAATATTTATTTCTCACAATTATGAAGGCTGTAGGGTCAGGGTTAGGGTTAGGGTTAGGCTCATTAATGTGGGCCACCATAACATCAGTAACAGGTCAGTTTGAAATGAAAGACACAATTCAGTTAAATTTTGGGGTCTTTGTTTTTATCCTTGTGGCATCGAAAATGGTATATAGTATTTTCCTGAGTATCCAGTTGAAAATATTAGTATCGTGACAACCCTAATGGGAGCATAGTCCCATAGCTGTTAATGAACAGGACAAACTCACAGGGTGGAGGGTCAGGATTAGGGTTAGGGTCATTAATGGGTGTTAGAATAATTGTACAATAATTATCATGCATTCTCTGATATATATGTGTGTGTATGTAAAGGTTTAACTGTGCTTGTGTGATAGCAAGAAATTGTTATCATAAGTACAAGTTGGTTTGCAGATATGAGAAGCTGACCACAGTAGTGATCCTGGTGACCACAGTCCTTTTTGGCGGTGTGAAACAAAGAAACAACTGCTCTGTGTTTTACTGTCAAACCAGTTGCATCCTGTGATTAAGAACTATGTATAACCAATCATGTGTGCTTCTTCTGTCTTTCGAGAAGATGAAGTCACATGTGATGATGTGTAGGAACCAAATAAAAGGAGAGCCGAGAGAGCTCAGAGTAGGTTGGAGATTGTAGAGTCTCCGGTGCTCTCCTTGCAAGTATTCACTGTACTTACTGTGTCTGTCTATTTTTGTCCTCTTACAGCACTGAGTTTAGAAGTGTTTAGGGGCATAACCCTGACAACAGGGGCCTCCAGTCAGGATAACGTCAGTAACAGGTCAGTTTGAAATGAAAGACACTATTCAGTTAAATTTTGGGGTCTGTGTTTTTATCTTTGTGGTATAAAAATGGTATACAGTATTTTCCTGAGTATCGGTATCCAGTTGAACATTTTAGTATGGTGACAACCCTCCTACCGTCCACGTCCTCCAGCAGGGGAACAAAAACTGTCCCTATTCGCTGATGACGTGTTGATATTCTTAACACAGCCAAATCAGACACTCCCCAGACTAATGACTACTGAATAATGAATACTAATGAATACTGGAGGAATACGGATCACTCTCAGGATATAAAATTAATGTTAACAAAAACCAGATATTACGTTTGCATTTTACACCACCCACTAGAATTAAGAACACGTACAAATGGAATTGGGACTCAGAGCACATTAAATATTCGGGGGTAGTTCTGACAAAGGATTTATCCAAATTGGTCGATGCTAACTATGGGCCCTTAACTTCAAAGGTAAAATCTGATTTACAGAGGTGGAACACTGTTCCCTTCTTAAATTTAGTGGAATCAATTAGAATGAATATTCTCCCTCGTATGCTCTACCTTTTTCAGTGTCTACCAATTAAAATACCTCAGAAATATTTTGATTATTGGGACAGGATGTTGGCGAAATACATACGGCAACATAAAAGAGCCAGGGTTAAATACAAAACACTTCAACTAATGAAAGGGAAAGGGGGAATGGGCCTTCCTTGTCTTAAGGAGTATTACTTATTATCATTATTATTATTATTACTATGCTGCCCAGCATAGCACCCTTAATCTGTTTGAGTTCGCCAACCTATTCTGCAGGATGGAAGGATATAGAAGTTAATATTACAAAAGATGAGCCCATCATGGTGCTATTGGCAGATGCTAAATTACAGAGGACCACAATTTATACTACTGACTTTATATATGAATCTTTGCTTTCCCCTAAGGACTCCAACCCAGATGAGGCGGGGGTGCTGACCACTGTGCCGTCCTTTATCTGACATGGCTCCTGTTATTAGGTTCTACCAGTTCTACACATGTTTGGATGCCTGCACCACTCCTACCGTCCACGTCCTCCACTTGCACGACTCCCGGTGAGAAGCAGCGCTTGAGGCGCTCGGCCCGCTCCCCCTCCACCGTTTCCAGCAGGCTGATGTCCGGCAGCAGCCGGTAGCTGGCCGTGGCCACCGGGGAGAACTTAGCATGGTCCTTTCCTAAACACAGGGATGGGAGGGGAGGGGAGAGGTGAGGGGTAGGGATGGGGATGGGGTTTGAAACCCGGTTCTATCAAGGACCCGGTTCCACTTTTTTCAAAACCCGAAAATCAACACCGTTTGGGCTTATCGATACCACTATGGAGTGTGGTGGTTTTTTTATTATTACAATAATAATTGTGGAATCCGTGTTGTAATCGGCAGCATACAAGCTAGTTAGCTTGAAAAGTAAATCAAGTTTCAGACGTGCTGCGTGATGATGTGTTCAGGTTGGCTCAGTAAAACCACAATTAGGTTATCATGATGCATTCAAGTGTAACGTAAAGAAAAGGGAAATTGAGTTTTTGGCGAGAAACATGAGTAATACAGTTGTATATTGCTCTAATTATTTTAGAATATATAATTAAGCTACTAATGCCAACATTTATTAAAAATTACATTTAATTTAAAATACAATTATTTATTTGCTAAATATTGTCGCATCGTCTTTCCACCAAATAACAGAAAAGTATGGATAGTGGTATCGATAAAGACTAGGATCGATAAGGAGTATCGATAAAGGTATCCATATCAATAAATATTAACCATCCCCATCCCTTACCCACGCCCTTCACACAGTGCATGGTGATGTCCAGCTCCTGTCCTGGACGTAGCTGAGCTATCAGGATGTCGTCGTGCACGGGGCCGATGCTGCAGTCTGCAAACACGTCGGCCTGGTTCCCAATGGGAACCCACGTTATGTCCCGGGAGTACACTGGTGGAGGACAGGAAAAAAGGCGTGAGCAGGAATGAATGAAATGAATGAAGGAATGAAAGCCTTTATTGTCATTATACATGCGTACAACGAAATTTGGATACCGTATGCAGCCACATAGGGCGCTCCGATTTTCCTTCAGAACCAAAAGAACATTGGGAAAGCGGTTGCGGGAAGAGGGAAAAAAAGGGGACGTAACAGTGATTTAAAAAAAAACCTCGTACACTAAAGCACAGATACAGTCAAATCCGGGAGAAGGAAAGGAGGCCACTGCTCACTGACTCAGTGGAGGAAGTGGCTGAGAGGAGAGTGTTGTCCAAACTAAGATCTATTATGGACAACACCTCTCACCCCCTGAGTCACACTGTAGAGGAGCTGAGCAGCTCTTTTAGTAAAATACTTATACACCCTGTGTGTAAAAAGAGCAATATTCATTCATTCTTTCATCCCTGCTGCTACCAGACTGTACAACTCTGCACTTTTCTGGTGTGCAATTGTGTTATATTTATTGACCTGTGTAATATGTGTACTGTGTGTGAGCCATCAATGATTGTATATATTTTAATCACCCAAATCTCTGCCCTGTGTTGCTTCCTTGTATATTTGTTTGTTTTTGCTGTACTTTATGCACCTTTTCCTCCTTTTGAACTCTAACCGATGTGTGACCAGTGAGTTTCTCCACTGTGAGATCATTAAAGCTCCTATCTTGTAAAGCTCTTATCTTAGGGATGGGAGGGTTTGTGAGAACCGTCTGAACCGTTGGGTTCTGTCTGGGTTGGGTTGGCGTGTGTTGGTTGGGTTCCTGCTGCTCCTTTTTCTCAGAGGGAAGCGTTTACACTCCAGAGCAGAAGGGGGCGCTACTGCGCCCAAAGCCAACCACCAGTAGGAAACCAGAAGAAGAAGAAGAAGCAGCGTAGCCCATAAAAATCAGACCCAGCAGCAGTTTCTAGGTCTGCTGTATGGACCAGTTTGCATTTAGAGGGAAGCACATGTTGGAATTAGCACTGTTTCCTCTCTGGCAATGCCAGAATCTCACCTACTTTTATTTATTTATTTCTTTAATCAGGACAGTGCACATTAATGAACAATCTCATACAGATTGTAAATGAGCCAGATTCTAGCATAGTTGCTAGTTTACATCTGTGGTCCTGAGACAGGAAGACAAAAGAACACAAAATCACACAATACAAAATCAGTCCAAACACACGTTCAGACAATGACATTACAAAATTAAAATTAATTAAATTCAATTCAATTTTATTTCTATAGCCCCACATCACAACAACAGTTCTCTTTCCAAACAGAGCAGGTCAGACCTACTCTGAAGTTAACTACAGAAACCCAACAATTCCCAAAACCCAACAATTTAAACCTCAGACTGTCACAGTAATGGATCAAATGTCAGACTGCTTTTTTCTTTCAGTTTTAACCTGACTATACAAGACATAATAGATTTACCGAACCGAACCGAACCCAAAACCGTGAATCGAACCGAACTGTGGATTTTGTGAACCGTCCCACCCCTAGAAGCCACCCATTGGGGCGTTATTGGGTGTGTGTAAAAATGACTGAGTTCTGTGTGGATTCTCTTCCAGGCGACTGGAACTGGCGAGCCAGCTGAAGCAGTGGCACCTGAAAGTTATCGAAATAGTAAAAAGAGGACAGCATCGCAAGTCTCTGGATAAACTCTTCCAGGGCTTCAAGCCCGCCGTGGAGTCCTGCTACTTCAACTGGGAGGTGGCCTACCCACTGGAAGGCATCACCTACTGCAACGCGGATAAAAAGAGCTCCACCTTCTGCTGGCCGAGGGCGATGCAGCTCCACAGAGGACTCAAAAATGCGGGGGGGGACTCATCTGAAGCAGGAGGGGGGGGTAGAACTGAACCTGGACCTGGTGGAGACTTCAAAGGAAGAGGAGGCTGCCACTTGTCACAACAGGAAGTGGCGGTGCGGCCGAAGGAGACCATCCTGAGCAAAAGGAAAGGGCTGTCACTGGGGGGAGGAGGGGGGGGGATGCTGGTGCGTTTGGCAGGAGGCGTGTCTCTATCTTTAGAGGAGGGTGGAGGGAAATGCATGCATAAAGGGCCTCCTCCCTCCTCTGGAGGGAAACTGAAGCTCGCACAAGGCAGTGGCAAAGGGGCGTCTGTGGGGGGGTCGGCCGTTAGCGGCGGGCTAGGTACTAGCAAGCATGCTAGCGCTAAACGGAGAACCAGCAGCGAGGACAGCTCCCTGGAGCCGGATCTAGCCGAACTCAGTCTGGACGACAGCTGCAATCTGGCTTTGGGGGCTGAGGCCAGCAACACCTTTGATTTTCTCCCCCCTCCCCCAGAAATGCTGCCTTCTCCCAGCCCTCTTCTCAGAGACTCCCCCAAATACAGCAACGGCGGAGGGTGCAAACGCGTGTGTCATATCTCCACCACGGCCACGCCCTGCTTTCCTCCTAAAGAGGAGGCTGATGTTGATGTTCCTAACACTGCCGATAGGGAATCAGAACCTGCCCAGAATAGAGATGAAAGCATGGGTTCAGAGGAGAACCACCAGGCTTCAAGCTCCACAATAACAGCGGGTTCTGGCACCCCCCAAACACCCGGAAAACTGCCCCCAGGCTGCAGGGAAGCGGCTCCTGCTGAGGGAGGAATCGTCGCAGGGGGGGGGGGCAACCAGGGAGCAGAAGGGGGCGGGGCTTCTGAGGGAGAGGCCGTGGGTGAGGATGACTATCAGGTGTACTACCTGAGTGCTGCCTCAGAGGAGGGAGCAGAGAGACAGATGGCTGACAGCCACCAGGAGGAGGAGCCAGACATCTTTGCAGGGATCAAACCGCTGGAGCAGGAGGGCCACATGGAGGTAAGCACTGGTCCTCTTTTTTTCCCTCTTCCTGCAAAAACTCGCGTTGAAAAACATAAAAGACGTCTATAGACGTCTTTGGCAGTCAACGGTTGGATTTGAATTGACGTCTATAGACGTCTTTGGCAGCCAATGAGTTAAAATGTGAGATTCTATTCTGCAGGAGTAAATGAATCTAAGTTGTGGCAATGTCCTAACGTGTGTGTGTGTTTGTGTGTGTTTGTGTAGGTGCTGTTTGCCTGTGCTGAGGCCCTGCATGCTCATGGCTACAGTAATGAGGCCTGTCGGCTGGCTGTGGAACTGGCCAGAGACCTGCTAGCCAACCCTCCAGACCTGAAAGTGGAGCAGCCACAGACTAAGGTACAACATTTTTATTATTTTTTCAGAAATAATACAGTGTGGTACGAATGTACATGTGTATTTTTACATTTTTAAACAAAAAAAAACAAACAAACACAAACACAGGGTGATTACAAGAGTGTGAGAAAAAACAAAACCAAAAAAAAAAAAACCTTATTGCATAATTAGTGTCTCCAGCGTTTATTGAATATGGGTGTTTGTAGTCTCAGAGAATATGTTATATGTTCCATTTGGTATATGTCCCAGACCTTCTGAATCCATATATGATGGCTCAGGTTTGAGCCATCTGATTGTTATGCATTTTAGAGCCGCTGTTAATAATATATTCAAAATATATATTCCATCTCGTGTAGTGATAGTTTTAGGTGTTAATCCCAATAAGGCAATGACTATATTGGATGGGATTTCCTGACTTTTAGGGCATCAACATTACAGTACATTACAAGTACTTAGAGACAGAAATATATCGTACAGTTTACCAATTTTTTTGTCTTCATTGACCACTTGTTTGACAAGAAATTGTTTTATAATGGAATGTAATATTTTTTCCCAGTCTTTGTGATGACATTTTTTTTTTTAATGTAGGGCAAAAAGAGCAAGGTGTCAACCAGCAGGCAGACTCAGGTAGCCACCAACACTCTGTCCAAAGCCGCCTTCCTCCTCACCGTCCTCAGCGAGCGGCTGGAGCTCCACAACTTGGCCTTCAGCACTGGAATGTTCTCCCTGGAGCTTCAGAGACCACCAGCATCCACCAAAGCTCTTGAGGTCTGCTCCCGCCGTTTAGATAGATGTGCAAATACTGCATAGAAATGTTGGGGAGGGACATATTGTTGAACTCAGTGTGTTTCCATCTATATGACATGCTGAAACTCAGTGTGTTTCCATCTATATGACATGCTGAAACTCAGTGTGTTTCCATCTATATGACATGCTGAAACTCTGTGTTTCCATCTATATGACATGCTGAAACTCAGTGTTTCCTTCTATATGACATGCTGAAACTCTGTTTCCATCTATATGACATGCTGAAACTCTGTGTGTTTCCATCTATATGACATGCTGAAACTCAGTGTGTTTCCATCTATATGACATGCTGAAACTCTGTGTTTCCATCTATATGACATGCTGAAACTCAGTGTGTTTCCATCTATATGACATGCTGAAACTCTGTGTGTTTCCATCTATATGACATGCTGAAACTCAGTGTTTCCATCTATATGACATGCTGAAACTCAGTGTTTCCATCTATATAACATGCTGAAACTCAGTGTGTTTCCATCTATATGACATGCTGAAACTCTGTGTGTTTCCATCTATATGACATGCTGAAACTCTGTGTGTTTCCATCTATATGACATGCTGAAACTCAGTGTGTTCTCTTTGGATGAAAGTGTCTAAATGCAGAAACAGAAACTAATGCTATGTGTGGCTCTACCAGGTGAAGCTGGCCTACCAGGAGTCGGAGGTGGTGGCTCTGCTGAAGAAGATCCCTCTGGGTCTGGTGGAGATGTCGGCCATTAGAGAGCGAGCAGAACAGCTCCGGGACGGAAACCTGTGTGATTACAGACCCGTTCTGCCTCTCATGCTGGCCAGCTTCATCTTTGATGTCCTGTGTACTCCAGGTGAGCCCGTCCAAAGCCTCAAACAACCTACAGGACTGTCTCAGAAAATTAGAATATTGTGATAAAGTTCTTTATTTTCTGTCATGCAATTAAAAATCATGAAATGTCATACATTCTGGATTCATTACAAATCAACTGAAATATCGCAAGCCTTTTATTGTTTTAATATCGCTGATTATGTCTTACAGCTTAAGAAAGCCAAATATCCTATCTCAAAATATTAGAATATCGGATTTTTGAGTTTTCTTCAGCTCTACGCCATAATCAGCTATATTAAAACAATAAACGGCTTGCGATATTTCAGTTGATTTGTAATGAATCCAAAATGTATGACATTTCATGATTTTTAATTGCATTACAGAAAATAAAGAACACAATATTCAATTTTCTGAGACAGTCCTGTATACACCCCGGACAATAGATGACACCTTTGACATTTCAGGTCAAATGTGCTGCTCAGTCTTAAGAGTGCTCTCATAATTTGAATTAATAATTTGTTGGAAGATTATAAAAAAGTTCAATGTCATGCAGTGTAAGAAATGTAGATGTTTTTTCGTTAACGGTGCATAAGGTTTAGCTTCTCTGCGTGAGTGCATTTGTAGCCGAATTCCAGATCTTCTGAATGAGAAACTGAGGTAAAAGCCTTTTGTCCATATTGTCCCGGCAGTGGTGTCCCCGACTGGTTCCCGTCCACCCAGTCGAAACAGAAACAACGAGATGCCCGGGGACGAGGAGCTGGGCTTTGAGGCCGCTGTTGCTGCGCTGGGTAAGATAAGATAAGATAAGATAAGATAAGATAAGAGCTTTATTGATCTCACAGTGGAGAAATTCACTGGTCACACATCGGTTAGAGTTCAAAAGGAGGAAAAGGTGCATAAAGTACAGCAAAAGCAAACAAATATACAAGGAAGCAACACAGCGCAGAGATTTGGGTGATTAAAATATATACAATCATTGAGGGCTCACACACAGTACACATATTACACAGGTCAATAAATATAACACAATTGCACAGCAGTTGTTAAAGTGCAGAGTTGTACAGTCTGGTAGCAGCAGAAATGAATGAATGAATGAATATCGCTCTTTTTTACACACAGGGTGTCTAAGTCTTTTACTAAAAGAGCTGCTTTTAAAAGCTCTTCGTCTTGGCTTCTGTCTTCATCTGTTTGAATTTTTTTAATCTGTTACTGCTGACAATGTCCTTTCATTCTTCTCTGCTAGCTCTGGTAGGTCTGTATCAGTCTAATATGCCCTGCTATCCATAATGCACCACAGGAAGTCCTTCCTGCCTGGTGCCATCAGAGCTTTCAGTTCATAATTCTCAGACCTATGGACATGGAGACCTCATTTTCTGTGTTGGCTATTCAATAAGCTGGCATGTACACATGACCCTATATATATTTATAAGTTTACTTCATTTAGTTTTAGTTTCATTGGACCTTAATGTGTCTACAGTGGGGGAAATAAGTATTTGAGCCCTTGCTGATTTTGCAGGTTTGCCCACTTACAAAGAATGCTTATTTTTCCTCATCAGATGGTTATCAATTTTTATAAATTCATATGATGTGATTTTCTGGAATTTTCTTTGGGATTCTGTCTTTCACTGTTAGAATGTACATATGATTAAAGTTATAGATCGTTGCATTCTTTGTAAGTGGGCAAACCTGCAAAATCAGCAAGGGGTCAAATACTTATTTCCCCCACTGTAAATATGTCTGTGCTCTTTTAAAAAAAAATAATTCTCTTTGAATTTGCGGCTGGAGCAGATGTGACCCGAAATTGTAATTGTACCTATGGAGATTCATGAAGCTTTTGTGGTTGTGATGCAGGGATGAAGACCACTGTGAGTGAGGCAGAGCATCCTCTGCTCTGTGAGGGAACTCGCCGGGTGAAAGGAGACCTAGCTCTGGCTCTCATGATCACCTATAAGGACGACCAGAGCAAACTCAAGAAGGTACGGTTTGGTTCCTCACATGCGTCTGATCATACTGGAAGGTATTTGTGCTTGTTGACATTGGAACCACACAGAAAGCTGGTAGGGACATCGAGGCAAAACATTTTCGGTTCATTCATCTTCTCCACCTGAGCACGTTAAAATGTTAAAAAGCCTAAATGCAGAAATGAAGATTCCCCTTTATTTCAGTGGTTTTACAGAGCTACACAACACTAGTTTAGGCTGACCAAACGTCCTCTTCTGCCCGGACATGTTCACTTTTTACATCCTGTCTGTGGCGTCCGGGGGGGGTTATAAATTCATGAAAATGTTTTCACAGTTTATCATAGAACCAGAATTGTAGGCTGAAATAGACTGGAGCTTTGCACAGAATACTACAGTACACACACACACACACGCACACACACACACACACACACACAGGGAGCAGAGCAACCAGCGTTGGAGACAAAATGCCCAAACCAAAGTGCAGCTTCAGACGAAATGGGAAAAAAAAAGTCCCAGTTACCGTCCAGGTCACGACAAGTGGGACAAAAAGGGTCTATAATTAGTGTATAGATACAAAAAGGATCTGAACTTAGTGTATAGATACAAAAAGGATCTCTACTTAGTGTACAGATCCTAAAAGGATCTCTACTTAGTATATGGATACTAAAAGTATCTCTACTTAGTGTATGGATACTAAAAGGATCTCTACTTAGTGTAGATCCTTTTTGTTTGTTGAGTTTGTATGGTAGTGAGAGTGTTTGATTTCTTCCAACCTGTCAGGTTTTGTACTCATGTGTCATATCTGCTCTTCCTCCCCCTCCTCATCCTCAGATACTGGATAAGTTGCTGGACAGGGAGAGCCAGACCCACAAGCCTCAGACTTTGAGCTCCTTCTACTCCAGCAAACCAGCAGCAGGCAGCCAGCGTAGCCCCTCCAAACACACCGCGGTGGGGTCTGCATCAGGGGGGGTTTCCAAACACACCCAGTCCTCCTCCTCTGCAAATACAATGGCCGCCTCTTCTTCAAGCTCCTCCTCCACCGTGGCTTTTCCCGCCGAAGATACAGCTCCTCCAGCGGACCTGAACCCAGTACAGAACAACAACGCTGGGGAGGGTTCCTCTGAGACCAGAGAGCGTGGTGAGCAGGGATGGGGATGGTTAATATTTATTGATATCGATAGCTTTATCGATACCTAATTGGTCTAAAAATACTTTTTGAGAAGGAATTGATTATTTGCAAATAATATGCCATTTTTGAGTGTGTGTGCTGTTCTAGTGACTGGTGGAGTAATCATGTAATAATTCCTTATGACTAGATTTTGTATATAATTTTGCATATTGAAGTGGACATGTTAAGAGCAATTTGAAAGAAGAAATATAAAATATGATAAAAATACATTTTTGTGTTTATTTGATTCCTATTCAAGACACTTAAGATAAAATAAGAATAACTATAGTGTTACTATAGGCGGATACAGATTTGTTTGACAGTTTTGGTTGGTGGTGTGCCTCGTGATTTTTTCAATTAAAAAAGTTACCTTGGCTCAAAAAAGGTTGAAAAACACTGCTTTAGGGGAACATGGAGTTGAACCACCCTCTAATCAGTAGACCACTACGAATAAATCTAAGCACTGAAAGGTGGCGTGTACTTCTATACTTCTATTCTTGTCTTTGTAGTGTGTAAACCATTGTTTATAACAGATCCTCTTTTGTGTACTTGCAGCTTCTGATGGGCCTCAGTTATCAAGTGAGCAGCAAAATGAAACGGCTCCATTTAAGCTGGAGGCCACAGTTCCCAGTCGGCTGGCACTGGGAGCTCGATGTGGCTACAGCCAACGCTGCTGGGGCTCACCTGTCCGCCAGAAGAAGAAACACACCGGTACGCTTTTTATTTATTTATTTATTTTTGTCAGTGCATTAAATATCTTTATTCATTCTACTGCTTCCATTAGATGCAAAACCCTCAATATGTGACAGCATACACAACAGATATTAGAGGATTTACTGATTTGTGTCTAAACATATTTGGAATTAGGGACGTAGAAAGTTGTCACAGGCTGCAGAAATCCTTGTGATTTCAAATTTGCTCTTATTTTCTTTGTCAAAATCCATGCAAAGAGTTGGGAAAAGCAAAATTGCTGCAATGCATCATTACATTCTAAAGTCATTAGTTAATTGTAGAGACAGCATATTTTTAACAAAACAATGGCATTAACATGGCTTATTTTTTTATTTTATTTTATTTTTTCATTTATTTATTTACTTTTTTTCCATTAAAGTTTTTTATTTTTTTTTATTTTATAACACAGTTACAAAGAGATGACATTCAACAACAAAACACACAAACACCGGCAGCAACACAGAACATGACAGCACTTATCAGTTACCTATTCATAGATATAGCAATGCACATATTCATACTCACAGCATACATCACACCCAAAATCCCTTAAGAAGTTTTACCAACATTGTAGTCAAAATATACTCTTTCTGCACCCTAGAAATCATGACCTCATAGGCAGCTGTCTCTGACATAAGCTGAAGCCATTCCTTGATATCTGGTCTATGTGGGCTCTTCCATTTACGAAGAATAATTCTGGCTGCTACTAGAAAACCCGTCATCATTAGTCTACCTTCAGCTTTTGGGATGATGCTTTTGGCATCAATGACTTGTCTCCTAAAAGGCAAAATTGTGCAGACTCTGGTAGAGGTTGACTCCCATAATGCATGGAGAAATGTGCCCACCTCTTTATTACACTTCCAACATTTGTTATCCTTTGTTAAACCCATTCGACATAACTTACTTGGTGCAAAATAATACCTATGTACAATTTTGTACAACCATTGTACAACCATGTGTGTGTTGTGTTGACAGGAATGGCGAGTATAGACAGCTCTGCTCCAGAAACCACCTCCGACAGTTCCCCCACCCTCAGCCGGAGGCCGTTTCGGGGGGGTTGGGCCGCTGCTTCTTGGGGGCGGGGCCAAGACAGTGACAGCATCAGCAGCTCCTCGTCTGATTCGCTGGGATCCTCCTCCTCCAGTGGCTCTCGCAGAGCAGGGGGTGGAGCCAGAGCCAAGAGTACCGACACCAGCAGGTAAACAGGAAGAGCCAGACCTCTATTAGGTCCTTAAAAAGAGGTCACATGATCAGAGAAGGTCTGCTGGTCTACCAATCATGAAAGAGCCTCGTGCCTCTGGTAGTCTAATTTTATCTAAATCTATATCTGCTGTACTACAGTGGTGGAAATAAGTATTTGAGCCCTTGCTGATTTTGCAGGTTTGCCCACTTACAAAGAATGCAACGATCTATAACTTTAATCATATGTACATTCTAACATGAATACCACGTCTCTCTAACAAAAAATCAGAATCAGAATCAGAATCAGAATCAGGTTTATTGCCAAGTAAGTTTTTAGACTTACAAGGAATTTGCCTTGGTGTTTAGTGCACAACACTTCTATGAGAAGCAAGAAATAAAATGTAGAAATAAAAATACAGGACAGAAATGATCAAACTGAAAAATACAATCTTTAAAAATATAGATCCGAATGTGCAAATGCACGTGCTTATGGTTCAAGATAGCCAGAAATACACGAAACTGACACGACTTGGTGTGTTGCGTAAAAGAAGAGCCAGTTAGGGACTTCTGTACGGCCCTACAGTGGGGGAAATAAGTATTTGACCCCTTGCTGATTTTGCAGGTTTGCCCACTTACAAAGAATGCTTATTTTTCCTCATCAGATGGTTATCCATTTTTATAAATTCATATGATGTGATTTTCTGGAATTTTCTTTGGGATTCTGTCTTTCACTGTTAGAATGTACATATGATTAAAGTTATAGATCGTTGCATTCTTTGTAAGTGGGCAAACCTGCTAAATCAGCAAGGGCTCAAATACTTATTTCCCCCACTGTAAATCTATATCTGCTGTACTAAGTGATCCAGACCCATCTTGAAACATGCTGCCTGGTTGTTAAGGTTGTGCCATAGCAAAGAAACCTGAGAAATCAGGTCTCTGAAACAGTTTCAATCTGATTGTGTGCGCTGTATAAAAATAAGGGCTTATGGCTGCTTTCTTTAAGCAGGTCAGGGTACCTCTCACTAAAAAACCTCCTTGATATAAACCAGTCTGGTTTTGAAAGTGGCCACTCCATTGAATCGGCTCTGCTGGCTGTGACAGAAGCCTTATAAGAGAGGGAGAGCACACTGACCACCAGCTGACCTTTAAAGGGACATTGTGTAGTATTTTATTAGCTAAAATCATGTTCTTCGTTTATAAATGTGTCCTCATTTGGTGTGAAATGACCCCTGCAATGATCTGACTTCTCATAAACGAAGCATTTCCTATCTGTATGTACACAGGACGGCTAAGTCCATGGAGGTTTCCATGGCGATCCGCCATTTTTAAAAACTATAATGGCAGAGAGGGACATAAAGCACTAGTGTGCCTGTCTAGCTAATCCCCAGCGTGTTTTCCTTCAGAGCCAGAGTCACATATCTAACAATGGATGTTTATGGAAAAATAAACAGATATAGAATATATCACTGCTAATTAGCACAGTTCCTGCTTTTTGGTCTGTGATTCATACTGTAACATTCGTTTTTTCGTTGTGTGTCTACGGTAGTTGTTTGGTAACGCTAGCTACAACATGGGCTAGTAATGCTAAGCTACAAAAAAAAACAACAACATGGCAACGTAATTCGCTGTCTTGTTGGAGCAGGAATTACATGTTCACACTAATGACTCAATTCAGTTTGTAATTTCTTTTAAATACAAACCTCATCACCAGAGAAAACAGTATGATGTGGAAGCACTGGGTCTGGTCCTCAATCACTGCTAAATTCAGAAACATAAGCCCTATAACATCAGAAGGATGGAGTCAGAAAGATGGGTTTTACAGGAACAACAGCAGTTCTGTTTTAGAGAGGTTGAGTTACAGGTAAACAGGAGGAATGTCTCCAGTGGATAGCAGCAGGCCACCTGAAAATGGCCGTGTTGGACAATGGATGGGGTTGTTTCAAGTGTCCAAACCATTCTTTCCATACATTTTACAATGAAGTAACCTGATCCACTGTTTGTCCTCATGCTGACCTGTTATAGAGGAACCATTAACTCATCAGTAGCTGTACAGAGGTTAAGGCCTACGTGAAGGAACCAATAATAGTTTATTCATTTCCTGTGTCCAAACCAATTTTTTAATAGATTTTTCAATGAAGTAACCTGATCCACTGTTTGTCTTCAAGTGGACATGTTTTAGAGGAACCATTAACTCATCAGTAGCTGTGCAGGCAGTTGGTTGGTAGGGGTTCAGACAATTAGTGGGTAGGGGTTCAGGCCTAAATGAAGGAACCAATAATAGTTTATTCATTTCCCTGTGTCCAAACCATTTTTTTCATAGATTTTACAATGAAGTAACCAGATCCACTGTTTGTCTTCATGCTGACCTGTTATAGAGGAACCATTAACTCATCAGTAGCTAGGTTAAGGCCTACGTGAAGGAACCAATAATAGTTTATTCATTTCCTGTGTCCAAACCATTTTTTTAATAGATTTTTCAATGAAGTAACCAGATCCACTGTTTGTCTTCATGTGGACCTGTTATAGAGGAACCATTAACTCATCATTAGCTGTACAGAGGTTAAGGCCTACTTGAAGGAACCAATAATAGTTTATTCATTTCCCTGTGTTCAGATATAAAGGACGGCGTCCAGAGTGTCATGCTCCACACGTGCCCAACCAGCCATCGGAGGCCGCCGCCCATTTCTACTTTGAACTGGCCAAGACTGTGCTCATCAAAGCCGGAGGAAACTCCTCCACCTCCATTTTCACGCAGCCCTCGGCCAGCGGCGGCCACCAGGGGCCCCACAGAAACCTGCACCTCTGCGCCTTCGAGATCGGGCTCTATGCTCTGGGCCTCCACAACTTTGTGTCACCCAACTGGCTGTCCAGGACCTACTCATCTCACGTGTCCTGGATCACAGGTAAGGGGATCCACAGTCTTATACAGCTAGCCAGCTAGCTTGGCTTTAGCTAACGTTAGCTGCTACGTCCTGAGTGAACAGGGAGAACTGAACTAGCACTTATTTATTAGCTTATATTTCTTTGTATTTTTTAACTTACCTTGATATGCTTCTTCAGATTAGATGGGAATCTTTGAAGGCTATAATTAACCATCTTTCGGGAGGCTTTTTTTAATAGGCTATGCTTGATCGTTCAAATTGCCCAATGAGGAGCCAGCTTCCCAAACCCTGACAGAGCTATCTATCATTACGTTTACATTTCAGTAACGAGTAACGATTAAGTAACGAGTAAAAGTATTGAAATAATAAAAAATATGTAGTGGAGTAAAAGTAAAAGTAGGCGAAAAAATATCTACTCCAATAAAGTACAGATACTGAATTTTGGTACTTAAGTACAGTACTTAAGTAGTTCTACTTCTTTACTGAACATCTCTGCTCACCAGTGACTCTGATCAGGGTTTCTCCTCTGGATAGCTTATTGTCATAGTGATGAGAAATGGAATATTGGCTCTACTCTGTAAGTCGCTTTGGATAAAAGCGTCTGACAAATGCACAAACATAAACATAAACACACAGTCAGGCAAAGAGCCAGAATTTACTCGACTCACTCTTTCCTGGTTCAATTCTCTCACTCTTTCCTTCTCTCAGGCCAGGCCATGGAGATTGGCAGTGCTGCCCTCAACATTTTGGTGGAGTGCTGGGATGGGCACCTCACCCCCCCAGAGGTGGCCTCCCTGGCAGACCGAGCATCGCGGGCCCGGGACCCCAACATGGTCCGGGCCGCAGCAGAGCTGGCTCTGAGCTGTTTGCCTCATGCTCATGCCCTCAACCCCAATGAGATCCAGAGAGCCCTGGTCCAGTGCAAAGAGCAGGTACTGAGGGAGACCCTGCATACAGGACTGTCTCAGAAAATTAGAATATGGTGATAAAGTTCTTTATTTTCTGTCATGCAATTAAAAAACATGAAATGTCATACATTCTGGATTCATTACAAATCACCTGAAATATCGCAAGCCTTTTATTGTTTTAATATAGCTGATTATGGCGTACAGCTGTAGAAAACTCAAAAATCCGATATTCTAATATTTTGAGATAGGATATTTGGGTTTCTTCAGCTGTACGCCATAATCAGCGATATTAAAACAATAAAAGGCTTGCGATATTTCAGTTGATTTGTAGATGCCCCCCCCCGAGCCATGGTTCTGCTCCAGGTTTCTGCCTGTTAAAGGAAGTTTTTCCTTGCCTGTGTCGCCTAGTGCTGCTCATGGTGGGAATTGTTGGGTTTCTGTAATTAACTTCAGAGTAGGTCTGACCTGCTCTGTTTGGAAAGCTGTGAGACAACTGTTGTCGTGATGTGGAGCTATAGAAATAAAACTGAATTGAAATTGAATTGAACTTTAGTTGTGTCACTACACATCTTTCCCTAAATCCCCGCCTTTTTCTGCGCTCCTCCAGGACAACGTGATGCTGGAGAAGGCCTGCATGGCTGTGGAGGAGGCCGCCAAAGGTGGGGGTGTATACCCCGAGGTCTTATTCGAGGTTGCTCACCAGTGGTACTGGCTTTATGAGCAGTCAGTAGGCGGGGGTTCCAGTCAACAACGAGAAACTTCTGGTCGCTGTGGAGCCAATGGCGGTCCAGGAAGGAGGCCTCCAGATCCTAACTGTGGGGTCCTAGATGGTGGGGTGAACATGGAGTCTCCAGGGGTGGCTACAGTCACAGCCTCAGTCACAGCGGCGGCCGTAGTGCCGGTTATCTCTGTGGGCTCCACCATCTATCAGTCCCACGCCCTACCGGGGCAGGCCATAGCTCACCCCCATAGCCAGGGGCTGCACCCCTACACCACCATCCAGGCCCACCTGCCCACCGTCTGCACCCCGCAGTACCTGGGGCACCCCCTCCAGCACGTGCCCCGCCCCGCCGTGTTCCCCGTGTCCGGGGCCTCGTATCCACAGGTCAGAAGGGTTTTTCTACTCATTTTGCTCATTCAATTTTGACCGAGATGTAACAGAGAGAATCCGGTCTTTTTCAAGAAGCAGACAGTAGATGATCAAAGCATGACTTCAAAATTATACATATAATCTGTATTTTTTTTAACAAATTTTGTATTATTTTTTCAGAAATAATACAATGTGGTACGAATGTACATGTGTATTTTTACATTTTTAACTCATTGACTGGCAGCCATTTTCAGAACAGAGTCCCATACTGCCAGAGTTTTTTTTTCTGCATTTTGCTCATTCATGGGTTCGATTTTGACCAAGATGTAACAGAAAGAATCCGGTCTTTTTTTTAAAAAAATTAACAAAATTTTTCAGAAATAATACAATGTGGTACGAATGTACATGTGTATTTTTAAATTTTTAAACATAAAAAAACAAACACAGGGTGATTACAAGAGTGTGAGAAAAAACAAAACCAAAAAAATAACCTAATAATTAATTAGCGTTTTCCCCGTGTCTGGGGCCTCGTATCCACAGGTCAGAAGGTTTTTTCTACTCATTTTTGCTC